GTTGTGTTCTCAGAGAGGTGACCCCTGCTCCGTCTCTGCGTGTCCCAGACGAATTGCCCAAGTCCTGGAAATGGAGGGACTGCAGATGGGAGGAGCGTGGCCCCAGTCCTCAGCTGAGCTGCCGCCCTTTGCTGGGCTCAGGGCCTGTGTCCTCCCTCACTCTCCATCTCTCCAGTTTTGTTATAAAACTGTCTGCATGAGCTAGGAGGCTAGGGTCAGGTGCTCACCACTTTGCATATTTTCAGGCCTTTCCTGACCTTTCTGTTCTAACCCTGCTGTGTTGTTTCACCTGGACAGGAGCAAACCCGGGACAGCTCCCAGCAGTCACTGGGGAGGGCGTTGAGGTTCCTTGTTCTGAGAGGCTTTCGCTTAACGAGTCCTACAAAAAAAAGTCACTGTTTTGGTCTGAGTCATGGGAAAGGACCCTGGGGCATCACATCCACATCCGCAGCGCTTGCAGCCGGCCCACTACAACTCACAGTCAAGTCAGTTTGGCCTTGTTTGCATTTTAACAGAAACCTTTAGAAAAAGCACGCAGATTTATCTGCTAGAGGATAAAAATAGGCAGGTGTGGCCACCTTGAGACATTCAGGTCTGATGGCTATAGTAGCTGGCTTTATTGATCAATAGGATGTCATTTGCTTGTTCTGTACTTTTAAAAACAGCCCACCCTGGAGAAAATGCTGGAGAAGAAATCCTTGGCCCTAGTGTCTGCAGGGGCAGCGCAAGTCTGATAAAGGGAAGTCAGTGTCCTTGGGGTTTTGGAAGCTGACTGCAGAGAACCCAGAGAACAGTCGCCCAGATTCAGGGTGCGTGACACCTTCTTCCTCTTGGAGTGCTTGAGTTGAGAGCTCTTGGTTTTGTAGATCAGGCAGCTGTGGCTTTGGTAGGTGAGGTGGCACTGCGCCTCTCGGTGGGGGCCCAGCACCCAGCGCCAGTGCCCGCTCCCCTGTGCGGGGCCCCTTGTCTCTTCTTCTCCTCTGGCTGAAGCCAGTGAGTGTGGAGAAACTAGGCGGACTCTCGGTGATTTTCTCTATCACTGCTATAGACTGGGGTTAGGGTGGCTGGTAGCACTTGAGAGTCATTGATGGCAGAAGGGCAGTTACTGGAAGGCCATCTGAATGCTAAATGCTAGTGGCATCCGGTGATACAAAATGACACCCAACTAAGAGAAAAATTTAGGCTTTATTAAAATGGCCTAATTGTTCAAAGGCAGCACCTAAAGGAAGTCTTTTGGCAGGGGGGGAAGGGAGGAGGTTCGCATGCCACGGGATGGTGAGCCCACTGCTCCCTTCACTCTGTTCTGCTCCTCAGCCATTGCTCTGTCCCTCTGCGGTTAGATTATTCCTTGCAGATAGCAATCAACTGGAAGGAAGTGTGTGTGTCTAATTTGCATGAGATTATTTAAAACAAAAAAAAAAAGGTCTGCATTAGTCAGGGTGATGGTAAACAACGCAAAGAGATGCCTTTTATAATATAGCCTGTGCCTCGGCTTTCAGAGCCAAATATAATTCACTTACAATTGGCAGTTTCCCTTATTATTCCTTTTAACCTTTTGGATTCTGCAAGGTCTCAATCAAAGATCCGCAGTTTATCTCAGTGGGGGCGGGCAGCAAAGATGGGACTAGGGCACCTGGATGTCTTTTGTATGAATCCTGTGGCAGTGCCACATCCCAAAAGGTGGGGTCATCTCTGCCCAAGAGCTGATGGCTAGGCAGACAGCTACCCATGTCTTCTCAGCTCCCCAGTGAACCACCTGAGTCCTGTCAAAGTCCTGGTTTGGACTGGCCAGTCCTAACCAGAGATGCCTCGGAGAAAGAGGACACTCAGGGTCAGAAGTGCCCTTCTGTGAGTGCCATCCGGATTTGATATGGAGCTAACTAGGATCATGGAACAATATGGGGACAGGGGCGCTCTACCTTTGTCATACTGGTATTGTTCAGAAAGTGGTCCAGGTGTCTTTTGCAGATAGGACCCAGGGGTTAAGTTGCTGTGTTGTTTTGATATCACCTCAAACAGTATTTATTGGCTCCTGCTGATAGATGGCAGTGGGAGAAGGAAATACAATACTTCTCTAAACCTCTTTAACAAAACTGAAGATTTAAAACATAGGTCTGGTTGGGTGTGTGGTGGCCATACCTATAATCCCAGCTACTCAGGAGCTAGAGGCCATTCTAAATTAGTACGTGAGACTCATCTCATAATTTTCAAACAGGAAGGGCTGGAGATATCACTGGGTGGAAGGTTTGCCTGGCACGTGTGAGGCCCTGGGTTCTGTGGCCAGCACTGTACAAGGTAAGCAAAAGATGTTAAGGTCTGGGTCTGTCACCTGGTGATGTGATAGCAAGTCACAGGCTGGGTGGTCACTGTGTCACTCTTCTCCAGAACAAGTGTGGTTTGGGGCAGAGGTTCTGCCCTTCTTGGACTTTGGGCTTTCATCTGCTAAGAGAAGGCAATGACTAGGATAATACTCCAGCTCAAAATGATATTGTCCTGTGAGATCGTTAAAATGCTTTAAAAAAAAAAAAAAAGCAAAACAAGAATGACTCATTTACTGTAACTAAATCAAAGCTCTGCCTCCCAGAGAAGTAAGGCTATCAGAATTCCAGCCACTGTAAATTTAAGAGCATCAAGTGATAAGGTCTGAAAAACAAGAGCTTGGAAGGAAGTGCTGATGCCCTTTAAATCGAGCCCTCACTGGTGGGCTCAGCTGTGATAATGCAAGGAACATGTTTTATTAGGAAAATAGGCTCCGTAAAAGCTCAGGGCCAGAGGGCAGGAAAATGGGCAGCGAGTCCCGTTCCTTTAACCAGCTCCAGCTCTCACGGCCACAGCGCAGCCTGTAACTTACTGTATATTTCCCCAGTGTTAAACATTAGAGTACTTGTTTATATTTGAAAGAGCCAAAAGGGAAAACGAGAATGCAACTGAATGCTCCTTTTGGGAAAATTATCCTCATTTGCAGCCAGCGGCTGACAAGGCACACGAACCACCAGGTTCGTAGAATCCCGTGGTGTGCCTGCCCGTGACCGGCAGCCGTGCTGATGTCGCAGATGCTGCTTCCTTCTCTAGCGCCCACTTCCAAACTGGCTAAGACAATGTCTTCCCTGCCAGCGCTCCGAGAGAGGTGCCCCTTCCTATTTAGGAAGAGCGATCTGCAGCCACCACATGTGCGAGAGCCTGAAAGGCACAAGCTCCGGGGAGGTGCTCCGTCTGTGCCTGGCTTGTCTGTCTGTCCTGTGCCTGCTCTGCGGGGAGGAGAAATGATGGGAAAAACAGCCCCTCTGCTGCAGGCTGGAGGTTAGGGATGGGGAGGAAGCACATGCCCTGTCCAGCCCTGGTCTACTTAACTTTAGTTTTTGTTTTTAGAAGGTGCTGAGCACTAATGATGGATGCTTTTGGAGCTTTTTCATCTTCCCTAGGAGAGCAAGTGCTGTCAGGGCCCCTCCATGGCACTTTAGACCTGCAGTAGCTGGCCTTGCCTGCCCCAGCCAGCCCCATGGAGTGGCGAAGTGGAGAGAGAGAGGGAGCGCTACAGTTTTAAGTGAGGACAGACCTCATCCGCTTAACTCGGAGAAGAGGAAGGCCCAAGGCCTTCGGAGTAGCCTGGGCACTCCTTCGACCAGTCATGGTAGAGCGTGAAAACTTTGAGGGCTGGTTGCAGTCAGCTCATGCTGGTGTGGTGCAGGGCTGAGCCTCGCTCGGAAGCATTAATGTGCACCATCTATTAGCCCCTAGGCACAGAGTGCGAGGCACCGAGCTTTGAAGATGCTGATCCTGAGAACCGCCTCGTACTTCATCCACCCCCAGGGGCAAGTATACCATGCTGCGGGCCTCTAATGGAGAGCTGCCGACCAGATGTGGAAAAGCTCTCGGCCCTGCTTTAAAAGCTCTGTGTTACAGCTCGACTGGAAATTGGGATTCCCGGAACGGTGTGGACCGGCCCGAGGGTCTCCTGCAGACTAGCAGTGACCTCCCACTCGCTTTTCCCACTTGCCACGGTAGAGTGCTTTTGTGCACACGTCACTTCCTGAGTGGGTCCTTCAGGGAAGTTCTTCTCATGCCTGGGCACCACACTTTGTTCTGGCCTGTGGGTTGGCAGATGCCCTCATCCTCTGTCCAAGAACCAGCACTCCCAGTCTGTTTAAAACTATCCCGGCGGGGTCCTCGCTAGAAATGAGCACGTCATGGCTTCTCACTTGTCTTTCATCCCTCCATGGCAGATCCTCTGTGTGCCACAGCCACTGCAGGTGGCGCCCTGCTATTTCCTAACGTCCCATGTGCAGTGACGGTTAGAGTGTTGGGAGAAATTTAAAAAAAAAAAAAAAAAAAGGGAAAAGAAAAACTAGCCAAAGGCGATCTAGGCAGCCTATGAGAGGGTAGAGCAATAATCATCTGAAAGTTCGGGCCTGGCCTTGTTTTGATCTGTTTTCTTGTTTTATTTTCTTCTTTACATTCTATATCCCATTCATACTAATCACAGTCAGTTCTGATTTTTCTTTTTATTTCTGCATTTGTCATAAAATAAAGCAAATTATTCCCGTCTTCTGAAACGATCTAGACTAATTAGTCGTCTCACCCAATAATTAGTTTTTTGTTTCCCTGTCTGTTTTCATGCATTATTGTTAGTTTTTTCCCCTCTTTTTTTTAACACCATTACAGATTAAAATGAGCCACATTTGCAGTTGATGGTATCTGTTTTCGGGGGAAGAATGGAGAATTGCAGTACAGAGCGACTTCAAAAGCAGCAATAAACTCAAGGATAAATTAAGGAAATTGAATGAGCCACATTTGGAAGCAGTGTTGAGGCTAATATTCTGTCGCTTAAGGTTAAATTGCAACCGAGAGAGGTTCCAGAGAATCCCAAATCGGGAAGGCAGCTTCCTGGGATGACAGTCACTCTGTCCCCACATGGGCGTTTTCTTGCGTTGGTGAATTCTGTTGCAGCCGTGGCCACAAGCCAAAGGTACTCACCTGCCGTTCTGTGCTCTTCTCCTCAGGGCTGACTGATGAAGAGATCGACCTGGCTTTCCAGCAGTCGGGCGCTGCTACCGACGAGCCTGCACCCTCCGGCCCAGCCGCACAGGTGGTGCCTCTGCAGCCCCCCCACCTCATTTCACAGCCATGCAGTAAGTCGCCCGCTGCAGCTCCTGCAGCGCCCGGGCTGGGGTTCAGAAAGCGGGCCTCTGCATCTCCCGCACCCAGCAACTGGGGGAAAAGCTGGATTTCTCCATTTTGAGCAGAAAGCTCTTGGGTTTTCCCTAAGAGACACCCAAAGCTTCTGCTACACAAACTTTTAAGTGTATGACCAAGGTCAGACAAAGGACCAGAACAAATGAGGCAGTGTATTGTTTCAAATATTTGGTCGTGTGGAAACTATGAAGCTAGGATTGGTTCTGCTTCCACCTTCTCACACGAGTACTTTGAACGCAACTGTCTCAGTGCCGGCACAGATACCTGATTCCTGGGTCTGTTCTCCTCTGCTCACAGAAGTCACTCATCTCTCGGTTTTAGTGTTTAAAGTTAATATTCCGAGGTCTAGACCGCCTTCCCTCTGCTGCCTCTCTTGGCCTGGCTATGCCTACATATTCTGGTGGCGGCAGCCAGTTGGAGAGCTTCACACTCAGCGTGAAGGGCCTCTCTGAGTGTGGCTTTTCATTATGACCTGAGCTCATGACCCAGAGGGTTTTGTTTTTTAAATGAAAACTACTGTTGGAATGAATGTGCTAATAAACGGGTACCTCTAAAACACAGCTAGAACCTCTTCTTCAAGCCACTTACAAAAAGTCAACAAAGTTAAAATTGACTCCGGAGCTATGGAAAATAGCTCAATTTTGTTGCTGTATTGTAACTCAACATTAGCTCTGTTATCTTTCAAAATGCTTTTTCTGTAATTGTCTTCATTTTAATTGTCTGGTTGTTTTTTTTTTTTTTTTTTTTTTTCCTTAAGTGCTGTAACAGTATTAGACACCAGGTTTAGAAAAGTGTATTTTAAAATGAAAGATTCATTTCGGTCCCTGAGCACACGGTCTGAAGCCATCTTTCTTACGCTTCTTGGTGGTTTTTGCATGGTCCTGCCACAGCTGGCAGCACAGGGGACAGCAGCCCACAAGGTCTTTTCTTCCCCAGGTCTGGGCTGCAGGGTGGGTGCTGGATTGGCACCTGCTTTGTGTGTCACAGATATTTGGATGTCTCCTTCTTTTTCTTTAAAGATGAACTGAGTGGGTGAGGCCAGGGCTCCTGTGATCAATGTCTTGCTGAGCAGTGCCTTGCCTGAGAAACCTCAGGCATTGTGACCTCTTTGGACACAGGATCAGCGCTTCACCAGCAGGCCTGTGTTTGTGCTCCTGAGTCACTAACTGCTGCTTGTCAGCATGGGACTTGTTTCTGCTTCCTGGCCAATAGTATGTCAGCCTATTGTGTTTGCTTTTGACCAAAACCTACTTTATGTCCTTCTTTTTAAGCAAAGGCCATCTCTACCCTCCTTCCTGAGTTGTGTCCCTAGGCCCAGCCGTTTAATGGGATTTGTTGAGGATAGGCAGTGGCAGCTGGGGTGCAGAATTTTCTAAGATGCACATCTGTTCTGTTCCAGCTGTTTCCTCCCATGGTTTAATACCAAACAGGTCTTTCGGCTACTTGGAAACTTCTTCCTCAGAATAAATTGTTCTGGTTGGCCAGAGTTGGCCTAAAATGGCATGGGCTTTTCTGCTTTCCAAGGCACAAAGGGTTACAGCCATCAGTCTTTCCCAGAGAGGCAAAAGGATGGGGTGGGCAGCGGGAAATTCAGTCAGGGAGACACTGTAGGTCTTGCAGAGGAAAAGCCTCACCCTGGAGGTATCTAGGTAGGAGGGTTTCTGAGTCTCCCGACCCTAAAAATAATATACACCTCTCAGAGACACGCTTCTGCCTGACGTTGGTGTAAAAACCCTGGGAATGGCACCCTTAAATGCCAGAAGTTTCCAGTTGTCACCTTGGAGCTTCATTGTTGGAGCACCGTTACTCTCTGCTCCTCTCAGCTTCAGGGGTGACTCTGCCTCCTCACTTCTGTACTTTTGCCAAGAGGTGTCAAAACTGCTCCCAAAAAAAAAAAAAAGCTTGATTTTGATTAATATAGAGAAACAAGACTTTGCCTGACTGATAATAAAACTGATAAATGACATTTGAATTACTTGTAGCGGTAATTTATTACATAAAATATCTTTTATTTGACATGCGATTAGTTGCTGGAAGCATCACTCAATCTGACTAGTTTAAACATGCTCTGAAATGAACCCCAGTAAAAACCAGGGCTGTCGGCTGCTGGCGTTATGAAATATACCAATCCTAGAGTGAGGAAAAAATCTGACTTTAAATATTTAAATGATTAATTGGGTTTATATATTTTTTTTACCTTTCTAACCCCCTTAATTACAAGCAAACTCAGGGGAGTTTCTGAACTAGGTGTGTAATCTGCATGCTTATCTCCCCGGCATTGTCTGCATCCAGGAGGGATTTATGAGCTCTGTTCATGTGTGTTCCTGCCCATTTTACATCATGGTCCCCGGCAGCCCTTTCCTTCCCATTTCTTGGCTTTTTAAAGACATTCCAGCTCCAAGCCAAGCCTAAAAAATGAGATTCCCTGAGCCCAGGCCCAGGTGCTCCTGTGATGGGGGAGGGTGGCTTCTCTGAGACCTTTCTGGAGGGCCAGTACAACTGATCACAGGGTCGGGGCCCAGTGTTGACCTGGTGATGGTTGGTGTGCTGCTGGGACCTCTGTTGATATCTGTGCTTCTTGATGGCTGTGGTTGACCTTGAGATGTTAGGAGATACCAGTGTCAGTAAAGGACCTGCTAGAACAGTGCTGGTTCAGCTCCTTGGTGTTCATGAAGCCCTGTGGATGCTCAGCACAGTCATACGGGAGATTCAAATGTGATCTTCAAGAAGCTTGCAAGCTGAGGAAGCTTAAGAAAAAGAAAATAATATAAGACATTGTGACATAATGCCAAAATTAATTACACAGATACGAAATTCCACAAGACTGTAGAAAAGAGAAAACTTAATGTGGGCTAGGGAGTCAGGGAGGCTCTGAAAGTGGCAGGCGGCGACACTCAGGAAGCGTCGTGTCACCTGCTATGAGAATAAACAAGTTCTCAGCGCTTCAGAGCAAGTCCGATAAAATCAGAAGTCAGGCTGAGATTGAGAGATTTGACACTCTCTGTTTCTCCTTTTGGTTTGACTCTGAGTGGGAAACCAGTGTTTTGGTAGCCCTAGCCTGGTCGCGGACACAGAGACCTGCTAAACGCCAGCCTGAGTGGTTTGTGCCCCGCTGATTCTTCTTCTTTGCCCCCAGAGAGACAGGCAGCAAGGAGCTGTGAGATGGAAGCAAGGGGCAGAGTGGATTTGGTAGGGTAACAATTTCTTTCTTAGGCTTCACTAGTTCCCTGCTGTCATCTTTGATAGACAGTCCGACCCAGGGTGTCATCTGCTCTTCCTAAAATAGGATGCTTCCTAAAATCGGGCTGCTCAAAGGCTTTGGACCATTTGATTGGAGATTCTGAGTGAGTCTTTTCTCAGTTTGCTCATGTTCGGCGACATATACTTATCCCGATTGTCTTAGTCCACAGAGCTCGCAGTTATTACTGAATGCGCACTGTTGGCGAGGCACTGCGCTGGACCCCTGGGGTGAAATGATCAGCGAGGTGTGGTAGTCATCTTTCAGTTACCGTGATTCATGCCTGAGACCATGAGCTAATAAAGGAAGCAGTTTAGGGGATCAGTCCTTGATTGGAGGGGCCCTATTGCTCTTGGGCCTGTGGGGGAAGTGCCAGGTGACAAGGGCAGGGATCCCATGGCACAGCACAATTGCCCGTGTCATGGGCAAGGAGCGAAAGGTGGGCACTCCCTGCTCTCTGGTTGCTCCAGTCTAGCGGGAAAAGGCAGGGAAGCCGGCTGGGTGGTGCTGGCCAGGCGGCTCAGGGACACTCTGGAGAGCCTGGGGTGGCTGTCACAGTCACGGTGAGCAGAATGCCAGACAGGCACATGCAGACCAGCGCTGTGCAGTTCAAAGCTGCTGGAGCAAAAGGAGACAGCCATGTTGCCAGCCTCAAGGGGGACACCCAGACTTGGGAACCTGGCTCCCGATGGTATTGAAACTGTTACCTCTGTAACCATAGATTGTTGGACCAGTATTAAAACTGCTTGTGTCTTTGGCAGATATGTGGTGTGTACCAGCCTGACTCACTGCCAGGCCCCTCCTCCTCCCCATGCTGTTTGTCCAGGTCGGGGTCAGCTGTGGGCATCTTCCCATGTCTCTCAGCCCCAGCTCCCCACCACACTATACTTAAATGTTATTTCAGCAGCTTCCCCATTAACTGGGAGTTCTGAGGCTTTTTTTTTTTTTTTTTTTTTTTTAATTTAATGGCCTAAGGCTCTGACCGAGCAGGTGCTCTAGAAATGCTGCTTGAATGGATAAATGGTGGTACAAATGTGCTTGAGAATCGCAAGGCTGTCCTGTAATAGCATTAGGGTGGTCAGCAGCCCTGGCAGCCCATTGTGGAAGCTTCTGTGTGCCCAGCCCTCAGCCCTCACAGGCCCTTCTAGGCAGGCTGTGGAGGAAGTCGGGGACCAGCTTTGCCTCCAGGAGCCTCTGTTAAATGAGAGAGGAGCTGGTTGCCTGGGGAAGGACCGAGCAGACCAACCCATGCTCTCTTGTATGGTGGGAATGCTGAGAAGAGATTCCATTTCAGAATTTAGGAAGAACAAGGGGAGTTCCAGAACTCTTAGGCAAGGCTTCTAGGGGGAGCAGGACTTAAGCTGTCTTTGAGAGTCAGTAAGTGTCTGGATCTAAGAAAGATAAGGCATAAAGGTAAGGTATCCAAGCCACCACAGAGGCCCTAGAGAAGTGGTGACAAACCCATGGCGTGTGTGCCTCTGCGGGCTGTTAGCTACCATTTTGCCAGCACTGCCCTAGAGCCCTCCCCAGGGCTCTGCATCCTTGACAGCTGGCTGGCTCCCACCATTTAGTCTGCCCTTCCTGTCCTACCTCCAGCCATTCTGCCAGTGAGAAGGAACGGAAAAGGAGAGAGCAAGCTGTCTCCTGAGTCACGTCCTGGAAATGAGCCTTGTGACTTGCACTTTCTCGCCCTGTCGC